GTAAACTAATTAGAAGAAAGAAAACGTTTGTAAATAGACCCGTTTTATGATCTACCTTCAGGGTTCAAGAGAAGCAAGCAAGTTAAGATCCAAAGAAAGGCCAGTTCTGCATGTTTTATTCTTCAACTATCAAGAGTAGTCGGCATTGGAAGAGTAATGGTCGTGTGACAGTGGGTTCGCCGTCGGTGGGCTCGAGCTTGGTCGCAGGTAAGTTGCCGCTACAAGTGCTGCTCCAACTTGCAGAATCGCCAATGGTGATGTTACTGCCACTACAAACTTCCCACCCGGTGCTGCAAATTCGCCGGACAGCCAGTGCAAATTCGCCACCCACAACTCCTATTGTTGGAGCTTGGGAGTGCTGCAAAATATGCTAGCCGCCGTTGCAAACTCATTGTCGTCGGTCGCCGTCGGACGCCGGAGGTGTTGGCCGCTGTAGGTGGTCGGTTGGGTGTGAGGGTTGAGAGGAGGGAAGGGTTAGAACGAAAATGGGGTTGTAACCCTAAAGGGCCTAAACATCCGATTTTGGGTTATTGAAGTCATTTTATTTTTTGTTTTTTATTTAAAATAGTGAAAATAAAAAAGAATAACCTGCGAACCGTTGTCCAAGTCAAACAGTTTAGCGGTCTGATCGTGCTGGGTCAGCGGTTTTCTGACTTTTTCAACTTTTTTTAGGAATTTCCGGTTTCTAATATAATCGGACCCAAGGGGTTAACTGGTTGCCGGTTTTTCCGGTCCAACCGTCTGGTCGGTCCAGTTTTGAAAACCATGGTGTTTTCCAAGCGCAAGGCAAGGTGCATGCCTTTTTGAAGCAAGCCACACAATTTCTTTTTTTGAAAAGTGAAAAAAATTGAAAAATATAATTGAAAAAATATACTTAAGCTTCAAAATAAATTAAATGATTAACAAAGTGCCTATCAAATAACAAAAATGTGAAAGAAGACAATTTTCTACCAAAAAATAGAGACAAACAAATTTCTTTCAAAAAAAATAAAAACAATTTAATTTCTTGCAAAAAGAAGAGTCATAAATAGTTTTTTACCAAAAAAAGTCACAGACAATTTTCTACAAAGAAAAAGAGTAATATACCATGAGACAAAGTATAAACTTGAAGCTATTAAAATCTAAGGTATCAACCATTATTGAAGACTCAATCACCATCTTCATCTTCATTGTCATCTTAACTTGTAGCCATCAAAATCCTCTTCCATTTCTTCTTTGACATCAACTTCTTCCCCTTCTTCGTCTTTCGATTGAAGTTGTTTTGGTCTTTTGTCATTAACTATTGTTATTCTTGTGAAGTTGAAACTCTAGATATTGTTTACCTTATTGGCTCTTCAACTCCAAAAGCATGAGCAACATCTCCCAATTTTATTGTATAATCATCAAACATCAAACCATTTTCTGTACCATCCACATCCCGTCCTATCTCCCTCATTAACCATTCATTACTTTGAACTTAACAAATATCAAGTCATTTAATCGCTTCTAATCTAACCGAAAAATGCCTTATGCATTCTTGTACTTGGATAATTCATCAATTATTACACTTCTCTTGTTCTTATCCTTTTCAACCATCTCAATTACTTTAAAAAAGGCAATCATAACCTCATTCAATTAACTCTTGATCATCATAATAAAATTGTGGGTTAAAAAAGTAATTTGTTGCATGCAATGGTTTAGTGGAGTTGGCATTCCCACCTCTTGTCAATAATTTCAAAAATGTCTTATATTTTTCTTTCCTTCCACCAAATGCTTTGTCAATGGCTTCATAACTATAACCCAATGAAGGCTTCTTTTCACAATCCACCAATGACCTTGCACTTTAAGTGTAAATATGGCATTATTCCAAAATGTGGGCATCATGACCATCTCCCCTACTCTTTTCCCTTTTGCTTCTTTTATCCATTTGCTATCATTCCATTCTTTTGACTTAAACAATCTCTAAAATTCTTATTTTCTTTGTATGTACTCTGTAATGTAAAAAAGGTAGTAGTTAAATAGGTTTTTTCTGGCCTAATCAATTTTTTTTTTGATTTGTAAACTTCCTCATTATGTTTAACAAACCTGGATGGTTATAAATGTCTATCTCCCTTCTGCTCTCTTTTCAAATTCACAATTTCTTCTGCACTTTGAGTAGAAAAGAATTTATCCAATAACCCCTTTTTTTCCTTTTTATGGGGGGTTATTTAGAATTTCTTCTTAAACTTGAAGTAAAATTTACATTTCCACCAACACTAAAAATGTAATTACCAAGCACATCCATCTTGTCCCCCATGAGTCTCATGTTCATCTTCAATTATGTTTCAAAGTCATTGAAGTATGGAATTTTGCCCTCTTAACCTCCAGCCATGTCGTTGATTTTTTTATCTACATGTACGCTAGTATCTCTTCTTTCACCTTTTTTAAGCATTTAGTACAAACTTTTTCATTTCCCCTTCCACCAATTAAATGCTATTTTGCTCTGAAGATCCCTCCATTTGTCACTTTGCCACAAGATTTACAAATAACCGAATTTGTGTTATTTGGGTCTTGTAAATAACAATATTTCTATTCCGGGTCTTTCCTGTTGTTTTCTTGAGTATTGTCTAACTTTTCTCCCATCTCTTTACTCTACTTAAACTAAATTAGTTATCAATCTAAAATTCTAAATTAAAAAAAAAATAAAAATATGCAATTGGTATTGGTTACAACTTGCAAATTGCAGCTATTAATAATCAAATTTAAATAGGCTCAAACTTTAGACTTCAAAAATAAAATAAAGTATTCTATTATTTACAAATAATTTACAAATTCTACTTAATAATAAATAAATAAATATTCTACTTTTTATAAATAACTTACAAATTCAAGTACTTGAATGTGTATCCACAAGAAAAATGGGTGAAGCCTCAACTTTTGCACAAAATTTTGATATAAAACAGATACAACCCCTGTTTTAGAGGTAAAAGTATGAAAGTATACAAAAAATCAAATCAAATCAAAACATGCACAACCCCTATTTTAATATAAAAATAGTGGAAAAATAATGAAGAAAAAGAATAAGGATGGGGTAGAGACCCTATTTTAATGTAAAAAAGCAGTGGAAATAATGGGGGCGGATCCCCTTTTTTGTGTAAAAAAATTGTGGAAAAAAGAATGAAGAAGAGGAAGAAGAAGAAGAAAGATGGGATGGAGCCCCTATTTTAGTGTAAAAAAATAATGGGAATAATGAAGCGGATATCTCCCGATTTTTGTATAAAAAGCTATTTTAAAAAAAAGAATGAAGAAGAAGAATGGGGTGGATCCCCTATTTTTAATGTGAACAAATCCCAATTTTAGTGTAAGAAAAACAATGGAAATAATGGGGTAGATCCCCTGTTTTTGTGTAAAAAACTATTGGAAAGGAAAAAAGAATTTAGAAGAAGAATGGAATGGAGCCCCTATTTTAATGTTAAAAATCAATGAGAGAAATGGGCAGAGCCCCTGTTTTAATGTGAAAAAAATCAAAGGAAATAATGGGATGGAGCCTCTGTTTTCGTATAAAAATCTATTAAAGAAGAGTAATGGGGCAGAGCCCAGCGACAAGCTTCGGTCCATTCTTCTTTGACGATGACAAAGAAACAAGCTTCAGTTTGTTCTTGACTTCTTTCTCTAGCGATTGCAACAAGTTTCAGTTTGTTCTTTCTTTTTCGGAGACAAACGTAACAGATGTGAAAGGAATTTTTCTTATTGAAAATTTTTCCTTTCTTCGGCAACGGCATAACAAAGAGATTCTTAGTTGATGAAACAACAAAAGTATTTTTCAAAGAGAAGTGATAAGGATATTTTGGTAATTTAATGCCTTCTGTCATTTGTCATCTGATTTGACGATCAAGCTTTGTCACAAAGTGAAAGTTTAGGGACTGGACGGGAAAAATTGGGAACCGGTCTATTTTTCTCCAAACCTCTTTTTTCCCTAAAATCATTGATTTTGGTTAATAAACCGTTGAACCGGTCAGTTAATCATTCAAATCGTTTAAATGGTTTTGACCGTTTTTCAATTTTTTAAATTTCTTTTTATTTTTTTGTCAGACGAACGACCGGACTGTTCGAACCAATAATCGGACCCCTGACCGATTCGGTTTTAAAAACCATAGGAGTATTTGTTGCAAATGAAAGTGCAAGGGGTAATTGTGATTAATCTCATGTATTTTGGTCCTTGTAATTTACCTTTATTTTTTTAATACTACATGGACATGATCCTTGCATACAACTATGCCACCTGTCTTTTAAATGCCACCTACATAAAGCTCTTATGTTTGCATGGCAGGAGGCAATTTCTATATAGGGTTGTATAGCTTGTCTATGTATGAAATGTATATGAATACTACTAATAACAAAATGTAGATAGAAATGTAAAATTTAAGAGAGAATAATTTAGTAGTAAGAAATAAAAAAAAAAAAAGAGAGAGAGAAAATGCCAATCTTTTAACTTTGTTGATGTAATGTATAATAATAAAAAATGCCAAGGACAAGTGTAGAAAGAATAACTTCCTTTTTTTATATATGTATAGTCTTAACTGTCCTATGGCACCTTATGAGAAAAGGAAGGGAAAGGTAGGAAAATTTATACGAGGTTTGTAAATGTCTTCCTCCCTTTCCCTCCATTTCACTACTTTTTCCTTGAAACCAAACACAGGGTAAATGAAAATATACTTTAAATTGAAAAGTCATTTAGAGTGAGAAAAGTCACCTAGGGATGAAAGGTCTTTTATAATTTAAATTCAAAAACGGTTTGAAAGAACTTTGGGTAAATTGCACATGTTTTAAAATTTACAAGCATATGAAAAAATAAAAAAGACAAAATTACCACTATAAAACCTTTGAATCACATACATAAAAAAATAAAAATAAAAATACAGCAATCTAATCAAGTATATTAGGTAAAAAAAAAAAAAAAAAGTAAAAGTAATTAATATTAAAACTGTGAACCATTTCATCTATGCACTATGTTATGGAACAAAAATTGATTCATTCATTTTAAGTTCCACTTTACCAAAAAAAAATGTTCAAAAATACAAAAACATAGGAAATATTTAAGTTATAACACAACTAATTCACTAGCAATTTGGTCTCGTAAATTGTACATGAAGGTTTGATCGAATGGTGTAGTTTCCTCATTAGTAACCGGCATATCTTGAGTCTGGATGTTGTCATATTCTAAACGAACATCTTCATCCTCATATTGTTCAAACAATTTATCCATAATAGCTGATCTTCGAATAAAGTTATGTATTGCTACACATGCGATAACGATATTCCTTTGTGTTGGAAAGTCATAAGGTGGCATTGTCTTCAAAATTGGAAAACGTGCTTTCAATACCCCAAATGCTCGTTCGATAACATTTCTCAATTTTGCATGTGCATAATTAAATTTCTCCTCTTTAGTTGTAGGATGAGGACCATCCCGAAAGTCAGGTAGCCAATAACGTGCATTACGATAGGGTGTCATAAATCCACGTGTATGCATATATGCATCATCACACAAGTAATATTTATCTGTATCAAAAAACACAATAATTAATGTTATTAATATTACTTTTAAAAACAATAAATGCAAATTAAATGTGATAATTTCACCTGACGGAGGAAGTGGAAAGTTATTCTCTGGATTACTCATGGTCTCCATTAATACTTGAGAATCATGTGCAGCTCCTTCCCATCCAGCCCACACAAATGTAAAAATCATATTAAAATCACAAATCGCGAGTACATTTTGACAACATACTCTCCCTCCTCTTGGCAAATATGAAATTTGACTGTCTCTAGGTATGTATGCATTTACCAAGATTCCATCAAGTGCTCCCACAGCTCCCTAATCAAATAAGGCCATTGTCATCAAGCTAAAGACATAGGAAAGCCACAACTGTCTGTGCCAATAGATTACTACAATAATTTTTACTTACCTTGAATACTTGTCTTAGTTGTGTATGGGTCTGAAATTGTAAGGAATCTTCATCAAAAGAAGGTGGCATAATCATCTCCTTTGAAAAGTGTAGCATAGCCCGCAATACATCATGAAAATACTTGGACATCATTTGACTAGAGTGTTTAAACCTTTGCTTCACAAAATGGCTTCTTAAGTTATGGTTCAGTGTGAACATAAACGTTGCCATCTTTTCTTCGACGCTTATATACCGGCTATCTTGAAGCCAACCCTTTTCTCTGAATAAAGCACACATGTTTAGAAACACTTGCCCATTCACTCTCATAAGTTCTTCACACATGTTTGAGTTGCTTAACATAAGCCTCTTCACATACTCAGCTCCACTCTCTGTAAATGCAATATTTATTTCCTTGATCCTACGCTTCTCAAAATACTTCTTCAGTATGAGTTTCACCCCTATAATTACGAACAACCTCTTCTGTTCTGGTTTCATGGTTCTGAAAATTCATATATAGATTGCCATTCAACATAAAACATTCAAAACAACCATAATATATATATAAACAAAACATATTATTTATTAATTTAAACATAGACACTGAACATAACCATGAAAAAGCTTGATACAACCATCCAAAAAGTTTAAACATCAAGTGTCTAAAGCACCTATTGGTCCGTACAGTGTGAACATAACCATAATACCATACAAAATAATACATCTGAAAAGTTAAACATCAAGCGCTAATGTACCCATGTTTTTTTGCTAACATGGTAAGCCACTTCAATTTGAGGTTTTCTGGCTTTAATTCCATCTTCACCCACTGCTCTCTATAGTGTTTGTTCTCACAAAAGACTGCAAGAGCGGCAGCATACAGATCATCTTCTTCTGTTAATGAAGTCCGTTCATCCAATATCTTATTGCATTGCTCTATGGAGGGCCCATCCTGGGTTGACATGGTATCTAAAAATGCCTGCAATTCAGCCCTAATATCCACATCTTCATCTTTCTTGCGGCGTTTCTCAACAGGCTTAGTCCTTGGGTTTTCTTCCTGTAGTAGAGGCATTTGTGCCAATGGTGTAATAGGGACATCTAAATCAAGGCCAACAGCTACCTGTGATATACCTTCTGCTGGTGTATTATTGGATGATCCTACAACATCCTCTGGCATTCCTTCTTTAGACGGACCCCATCCCATTTCTCCAGTGGCTACTACATCATCAAATAAAGCCCTCAACTCATTTGCAAACTGCAATCCGGCATTGCGAAATTGTCTCGCATCCGGGTTTGCCTGTCATACAATTAATGTGGCCACCACAATGTTAAACACTTGTTCCAATTTAGCAACAAATATTATTAAACATATGTGAGAAGATTCACAGTTACCTTCAAATACTCATCCCAAACTTCATCAGGCCAATCAAATGTGTTGGTCACAGGATTGTACCCACGCCCCGGTTTTTTAAACATCCGGGACCATATTTCGTATTTCTTCTTTAAGTAATCCCAACGATTCTTGACTTGTTTGTTGGTAACATGTACCCTCTTTTCATTTTTGAGTGCTGCAACGATCTTATTGCAGGTTGATTTTGTTAAGTTCCCTCCTTTCTTCCCTGTAGCATTTTTATCCTCAAGGACCTTGTCAATAATGAATTTTGTAAGCTCTGGTGTCCAATTCATTCTATCCACCTCATCGGAAGCCATCCCTATGAAATCAACATAACCAGTATGGTCCAGTCAAAATCCATTACCTAATCATCATACATCTATAATTTCCGTCTGTTTGACAACCTTTTGTCGTCGAACATGTAGCAAGGGAAAAGTACCCTCAAAATAAGAAAAAAGAAAGAAACCAATGCATCCATGGATGAAGAGTGAAAATAACACCCAAAGCATGTAAAAGACAAACACATGGAAGGATATTTTCTGTGCATCTATGGCAACACTTGAGAAAGATGCAAGTAAATAGGGTAATTGGGCACTCTGTTGATCTTTTCAAGTAATACATTCGTGGTTCTCATCCACCTCACGCTATAAGGAATGCTTATCCAATGTAGGTCAAAACAAGTATGACATAAATGATTGTTCATACTCACGTCAGCTTGGAATATCTGCTACGCTCCAATACCCAATAGGATTGTTTTGAACTTACAACCATTCATTCTAACTAAATGGCAATAAGGTATTTCAAACAAACCATTGCCCTCTAAGGCTCTAACTTGTTCATTCTGAATTCAACAATCAATTTTATGCAGTAACATGTAAGTAAGAATTCAAGTGTCCAATGCCATTCATCAGATCAGAGCATCTTTGAATCTTGCCTCCAATGCTAGAGGGTTGGTTAATCAGATTCCCTTTTGTTGATTATGTACTCGCCTTGGCAATAGAATTGGCAGTCCAACTTACTCCCATTCTATATACAAAATCAGCTTGTCCAGCCTAACCCAAACAAAACAACATATCATGGGATCTCTTGTCTTGAAACCAAGAGATTGGAATATGTATATTGTTTTTTTTTTTGATAAATATTGGAATATGGGTCCACCTCTTGTTCCAGTCTGATGGTTGTTGAAGTTTCCCAAACATTATGGTGTAAAAAACCATATATCTGATGCACTTATGTCAACTGCAACTCTTCAACTCCCCCCAGACTCGAACAAATATAATGTATGGTCAATTCATTACTCATTCCAATCTGATAGCCGTTAAGAGTTTTCAAATATTTTGGTTTAACAGCTCCATAAACCTGATGCACCTCTATGTCAATCAATACTCTTCAATGCCCCTCTTACTCCCTTAAAAAATAACAAAAAGGAACTATATCATATCAAATGGGTATGATTGTTTATATGCTATTGGCATCCAAATCTATCAATATCCTATGATGGATTCACAAAAGAATTATACAATATTCTACATATAACTTTTGCACAGTGTACATTATTGATCATGAATATCGGGAAGGTATTATATTTTTGTGTTGCTGATCAAAAAAATATATCATGAAAGTATTTTTGATGATTGATAGCTCAGATACATTATCAATTAATTCAATCAACATCACTTTCATTTATTTATTTATTTATTATTTTTTTGTGGGAGGAGGTGTCAAATTTGGAAATTATGTCACCTGTTGCACTTCTCTGGCCCCTTCAAGACATGAAAACACATCGGTCTTCACCGGTGAAGCACAAAGTGAAGATCAAGTACGCATTGACATTGTGAAGCAGTCAGATAGTGTTCCGTTGTGCAAATACTCGCATGAATAGTGACTGATCTTCACCATGTCTTCAATGATTAAGGCCTGCGTGTCTTCATCTCCTGAGCGCACCAGACAAGTAAAGCAAGAAGGAAAGCAGATGATCCAGACATTCAAAAACATAACCCCTTATGAGCACATCTGGACTTGCCAGTTGCCACGGTACATGCCAACAACTGACACTTACTAAGACAGACTCATATTTTACCGTTTCAGCAACCAATAGAAATGAAGAACACTCGTACAGTAGCACTCATTCCCAGTTTAAAATAGCCCTTTAAAAGGTTCATATCCAAGGACAAACTAGTTAATCCGATTTCTAAAATTGGAAAGTAGCAGCCTATACAGAGCTTAAGTAAGAAGAAAATCTCAAGAATATAAACCGAATAAAGAGGGGGGAGAAGGAAAAGAGAAAAAAGAAATGAAAAGGAAACGCATAAGGACAAATGGCAGAAAGTAAAAGCGGAACAGACAAGCTCAAAGAACGGAAATAACTTACAACCTCGGGGAAAGATCCAAATTTCCCAGCAAATGATGAGATGGATTCCCCAGAAGCAAATCCCAACAGCGTATTTAAGGGGTTCTCCTCCCCAGCAGAGTTCAAATATCTGTTGGACACAGCAAGAACAAAGTCGGGCAAGACGAGAGACAGGACATCAGTTTCCACTAAAAGAAACAGAAGATGACACATAAACAAAAACCCATTTCAGTTCCAAAAAAAAAAAAAATCGTGGATTATATCAAGGAGAAAAATCAAAATAACCTGAACTAGGCACAGTATACGTATCAACCTATTGAAATAAAAGCAACTAAGAAATCTCAAACTGTGGGTACGAAACAAAACCTAACTTGAAAATAATTAAAGAAGGAATTAAAGAAAACAAAAAATCACTCCTAACCTGCTTCTTCTCCTTCGTACAACTGTTCGCGGGCGATCAAAACCTGAAACAAGAAACTAGATCAAAACCCTAGTCCGGCGAGTAAGGAACAAATACAGAGAATTTAACTCATAATGCCCGACGAGAGGACACCCAAGACCTCCATAAGAAACAGAAATTTCAAATTAAAGGACAACGCGACATAACAAGGAACAGAGAAGAAGAACTTTAGAGAGAGCGAGAGAGCCACACCCTACAGCCATCAGAAGAAGAAGAAGAAGAGAAAGAAGAGGAGGAAGAATAAGAAGAAAAATGGTGAAAGCCCATTTTATTACCAGCTCAGCTGTACACGCGCAGGCACAGAGAGAGGAGAAGAAGAAGACGATGAAGATGACGAAGAAGAAGAGAGGGGAGGAGTTCTGCACTTCCGTGCAACCCCCGACGAAGAAATGCTGAAGCTCTTAAGAGGGTAGAAGTGGCCGTGAAAAGATTCACATCTTTATTCCAATCCTACGTCTCACAGTCGATCACAATCGGATGGCAGGTGTGACAGCAATTAGAATACCACCCACCAACCTGGGCCCACCAATCCATGCCTGATCCCCACTTATTCCCGTGAATCTCCTCCAAGGTCCAGTGTTGGAACTTCAGAGTTTAAACCATACAGTAGAGACATCTTTATCCAAATCCAACGTCCTATAATTAACACGATCAACGACCCAGATGACCGGTGGGACCCACCCCATAAATGTATAACAATGTGAGAGAGAGAGAGAGATTGTGATGTACGTAAGAAACTTTCAGTTCTCAGGCTAAAGACAGCGGCATTCTCCTTCTCCACCTCCCCTTTCTCCCTCCTTTCCCTTCAAAACCACTCTAAAGACCAACCAACGTCTGTACTATGCAGAGAAAAAGAGCCCATCAACCAGAGAGTTCAAATGCTTTCTTGCCACTCAAACCCAGAAATCTCTGCCTTTGCTAAAAAGGGATTCTCAGAAATTACCAGTTTAATTACTGGGAGAATTGTACATGCGATTTGTATCAAGGAATGAATCCATTTAAGAATCTTCCATTCGAATACACTGATAAATATGTATTCAAAATTTGGGAATATATATGTTGCCCGGATATTGTATGATAAGATGCCTCAAAGAAACAAGGCGTCGTGGTATATCATGATATCTGGTTATGTTGGAATGGGCTTATACACAGAAGCAATTGAATTGTTTGGTGAAATGGAGAATCGAGGCATCAGTCCTAATGGGTATGTGATAGCCAGTTTGATACTTGTAACAGGTCTGCTTCGATAGTCTGTCAAGGATTCCAAGTTCATGGTTTTGTTCTTAAAGCAGGACTATTATTTGATGTGTTTGTAGGCAGTGCACTTCTGCATTTCTACGGTACATACGGGTTTACTGCTGATGCACGGAAATTTTTCCATGAGATGCCCAACCGAAATGTAGTTTCTTGGACTTCCTTGATGGTGAGCTATTCCAGCAATGGAGATCCAGAGGAGGCGGTGAAGATTTATATACAAATGAGGCGTGAAGGACTTAGTTGCAATGAGAACTCTTTGGCGACAGTGATTAGTTCATGTGGGTTGCTCGAGGATGAACCATTAGGTCGTCAGGTTCTAATGTTTCTGTTGCCAATTCTCTTATATTCTTGTTTGGCAGTGTTGGGAGTATGGAAGATGCATGCAACATTTTTTATCAGATGGAGGAACGTGATACAATATCATGGAATTCAATGATATCTTCATATTCACATAATATATTTTATGAGGAATCACTACGATGCTTTAATCAGATGCGTCATGCTACTGTGAAACCCAATTCTGTTACATTGTCTAGTTTGGTTTCAGCTTGTAGTTTCATTGAATATCTGAAGTGGGGCATGGGAATTCATGGTCTAGCTGTTAAAGTTAGACTGGATTCAGTTTTTTATGTTGGAAGCACTCTTATTACTCTGTATTCTGAGTGTGGAAAATCTGAAGATACTGAGCTGTTGTTTCAAGAGATGCCTGAGAAAGACTTAGTTTCATGGAATTCTATGATCGCTTGCTATGCAGAAGACGAGAACTACCAAGGTGTCCTAAGGCTCTTGTCAGAATTATCTAGGACAAGCAAAATAATAAACCATATAACCTTTGCTTATGCCTTGGCTGCATGTGCTAGTCCCGCAACTCTGATCCATGGAAAGACCCTGCATGCCCTTATAATCCGAGCTTCGCTACATGATAATTTGCTTTTGGGGAATGCACTAGTCACCATGTATGGAAAGTGTGGCACAATGAGAGTAGCCAAACTGGTTTTCCAAGCAATGCCCAAGCCTGATGTGGTTACATGGAAGGCACTAATAGGGGGTTATATTGAGAACAAAGAACCGGGGGAGGCAATAAAAACCTTGAAATTGATGAGAGCACAGGGAACAATTGCAGACTTTATTACCATGGTGAATATTCTTGGCGCTTGCCTCACTCCAAATGATCTGTTGAAATATGGGATGCTAATCCATGCCTACACAATTTTAACTGGATTGGAAATGGATAATTATCTTAGGATTTCTCTGCTAACAATGTATGCCAAGTGTGGTAATCTAGATTCAAGCAATTTAATTTTTGATAGATTGCTTAATAAAAATATTGTATCACGGAATGCAATTATTGCTATAAATTCCCATCATGGCTGTTGTGAGGAAGCTCTGAAACTTATTGTGGATCTGCGTCGTGCAGGATTGGAGTTGGATCAATTCAGCTTATCTGGAGGGCTTGCTGCTACTGCTAGCTTGGCAATATTGGAGAAAGGCCAACAGCTTCATGATCTTGTTATTAAGCTTGGGTTCAACTCTAACCTCCCTGTTATAGATGCAGCAATGGACATGTATGGGAAATGTGGAAAGATGGATGATGTTCTTAAGTTACTTCCGGAACCAAGCAGAAGATCACGAATATCATGGAATATGTTGATATCAGGATTTGCAAGACACGGATATTTCAACAAAGCTAGGGAAAGTTTTCATGAAATGATACAACTGGGACAAAACCCAGACCATGTCACTTTTGTTTCACTTCTCTCTGCATGTAATCGTGGAGGTATAGTGGATGAGGGTCTTGCATATTATTCTTCAATGACTTAAGAGTTTGGTGTCACACCTGGAATAGAGCATTGTGTCTGCATGCTTGACCTCCTTGGAAAATCAGGGAGATTCACTGATGCCAAAAGGTTTATAAAGGAAATGTCAGTCCCACCAAACAACATTGTTTGGAGTTTATTCTCTGCACCCAAAATCCATGGTAATTTGGAGCTTGGTAGGAGAGCTTCCAAGCATCTTCTTAAGTTGGACCCATCAGATGACACAGTATTTGTTCTTCTATAAAATGTGCATGCAATTAGTGGGATTTGAGAAATGCAGAGAACATCAGAATGATAAAGTGATCTAATTTGTGATGAGAGATCAGTCCGACCCACAGACTATCCGGATCTATCTGAAGTTGAAGGAGCTCAAGAAGATTATATATTAAACAAGCAGGTTATATTCCTGAGATATCTGCATTACATGACACAGATGAACAGAAGTAACATAATCTTTGGAACCACAGCGAGGCTTACTCTAGAATTTTGTTTGATTAATACTCAAGAGTAGTCAAATATCAGAATATTCAACAATATTCATATTTATGTGATTGGCACCCTCCTTGCAAGTTTGTTATTGAAGCTGTCAGTCAGGAAATTGTGCTGTGAGATCCTATCCCTTTCACCATTTTAGTGGGGGCAGGTGCTTTTGTTCGGTTTTGGTAGTGAGGATACTGTGCTTAAAGAACAGATGTACAGAGATTTAATGCTAGAGCACTGGAACAATTAATAAATGTTTTAGGAGATTGTCCCATAATCTCATTAAGGATATTGAGATCAATATTTATATCCTTATTATTATAATAGAGGGGAAAACCTGCTGCTTCAGAAAAACTAACTTTTTTTCACCCACCCCATTTTGCCCTCTCAAAATTTTCAACCCCCTGAGGTCATACAATCTAAAGTAGGCCACTGCCTAAGCCCAGTAATGGTCATGCAATGCCCAAGGAGGAGGCAGTAGAATGGAATGCTCCGTCTTTCTCTATTAGTCTGTATTTTTTGTTGCTTCTCACATGTATGAATCAGGTAACAGTCATTCAGTTCTTTCTCTTGCTTTAATTTTCTTCTCTTTTTAATGGTCATCTTTGTTGCTTTATGCCTTTATCATTTACACCAACAGAGACCACTTTTTCCTTGGTTTAATCCACTTTTTCATCTCAAGAAAAGTCATCCGACCCTAAACAATTGCATCCTACAACCCAAAAGGCTTATTCTTTTATGCAGATTTCTCAAAATACAATATCTGTATTTTCTGTAATTACTCAAAAAGGAAACAGGGGCTCTTCCCCTTTCAATTTTTCTTCTTGTGCATTGATTCTTGATCATTTTTAATAGCTTTTAAGATATAGGCTTTATAGCAATTTCTTTTCTTTTCTTTTTTTCTTTTTGCTAATAAAGTGCTATTGAACTGAAAATTGCCTCATGGAAAGAAGGTTGAACCATTGATATAAGATCATGAGAGTATCACAGTCTTATATCCAATCTGGTTTGTCATCTCAACTTCTAAAATCCAAATTCTCTATGAGTTGCATGTTTAGATCAGTTATTTGTTAACTAATTGTTCAATTTTCTGGTAGTTTTTTTCCCTTCAATTGCTCTATACTTTATTAAATATTTATTTCATTGTAGTATTGTGCTTGAGATATTGATATCAGAAAAATGCATTTCTATATATGATAATGCTAATTATCCAACAATGACGACTTCATCTCCTTGTCCAAGTGACTCAATGACTCTCATGACATCAGCCTTACCAACTATCGAATTTCTTAATTTTCCACTTATGCTGTGTTTGGCTTGAAAGAAAAGGTAGATAAAGAATGGGGGAGTTCAATCCAAACACAACCTTAATGGTCCCAATAATGTATACCGTGAGCACTGCTATCGTGTTTGTCATTTTTTGGCTAACTGAGATCGGCTATTCGGCCTCCATCAGGGCAAACCTGTGCCCACACCGTTCTAACAGCCTTTCCCAACCTTGCATTGGGAATATCTTCCCATGAAACAAAGCACATAAGTATGGAGATATTCTCAATGCAAGACAGTTTTAAAAGATACATTGTGATTAAGATACACATTGAATAGTTAGGACCAACATTGGATAATGAATTTTTTTAATGGAAATTAGAAATCCCGTTTCAACTTAATAAGCTGGATATATACTTATTTTACATTTTTAAAAGTATTAACGAAAGTTTAGGATATCTATACATGTATTGATTTTTGGATTGATATAGCGTGGGGTTTGCATGGGATTGAATTTGATATTGGCTGATAGCCTAACGCTCAGACAAATGTAGTACCTATAGATGCCCTACTAATATGAGCAATATAACCCCATTAATTTCTGTTATTTTACTCTGTTGAATCTCATGCTGAATTGCTAATCCTATTATCAGCTCTCTTAAATCGTACTTATTAAAATCATAGTAAGAAAAGGCATTACCAACCCAATATTGTTCTCAGCTCTTGAGAAGGTAGATTGGATACAGTTCTAACATGTCATTGTTTTTGTCATAAAGTGGGTGCTCTCAAACTCAAACCCATTATTGTACTTGTCACCCCAAGATTTTACAATTACTTCAGTAATGGTTCCTTATTAAAATCATATAAGGTTTAAAATTTTGATATGATACGCCCGATATGGGGTGTACCGTATCGTATCTTTGAAAAGCAGATATGAGATATGCATAGAAATCAGGCGTCTTGTCTTTTTTCATGTATATCAGACTCATATCGGATAGTATCGGGGGTGTATTGGGGCGTCTTGGTAGTGAAAAAAAAAGTGTGAATCATTACTTCTTTTAAGATTTTTCAAATTTTGAAAAAATATGGCAAAAATAGGTAAGTTTTTTAATTTTTTATAATATCTTGTGATTTATTTTTTTTCTTGAATATTTAAATTTATGTTGATCTACATTTCTTGTATTCAAAATCACTTTTTTGTATTATAAATAGATTTATGGAAATTTCATGAAGATATTTGGAGAAAATACAAATTAACAAAATATTTGAAAATGTAATTTTTTCTCTGCCTATAAAGAATAAATAGGTTTTAATTATCTATCATATTCATAGAGCAATTGGAAATTTATTCTCTAATATATTTTTTTATTTTTTTTATTTTTAGAATTAAAAAATAAATAATAATTAATTATATTTTATCATTTGATCACAACAATTGAATATATTATAATTCTATGGATGATCTATCATATCCACAAACCAATTAAAAATTTTTTTTAATAATTATTTTTTATATTTTAAAATTAAAAATTAATTAATTAATTAATTAATTATATGTTATCATTTGATCACAATGATTAAATACATTATAATTCTATGGATGATCTATCATATCCACAAATCAATTGAAATTTATTCTTTAATAACTATTCTTTTAATTTATTACATAATGTTTATTTATTTTTTATAATTTTTGGAAATAAATAATAAATAATAATTATTTAAATATAAATAATTAATAATTATATTTTCACTTAAAATTTGTGCTAGTGCATGTATTATGGTTTGATAGGAGATTTGGGTTTTTTCCATCCCATAAAACATTAAAACTTAAGAATTATAAATTTATAAGTTATAGTTAACCAAAGGATTTTTAATGAAATTATAATTAACTACAATATATTTTCTCATAAAACCATTAGAATATATTAATTTAATGTATATACACCTCATTAAGGTCTTATATTTGATGTTATTGATGTATTTTTATAATTTATTAAAGTATTTATAGTGTTTCCAAGCATATCTATGCATATCTTAGTTTTTCTCCGATACATATGTGTATCCAAGACATAACCTGATACATCTCTTAAAATTGTATTTCGGATACACTTAGCATTTCTAATACTTTAAACCTTGAAATCATACTAAAGAATATATGGTGCTGCTGAACTAAGTATTAAAATATCCAATACAGGACATATATCAGTTTTTGAAGAAACACACACAATGACCCAATTTCTATAACATGGACTAGGGTTGTTCATAATATATTGTAAACCGATTAAATCGACCAAACCGAACCAACCTGATCCAACATGGTCAGTTCTAAAAAATAACCGGTCGGTTTTAGTTTAAAAAATGGTAGAACCGGACAATTTGGTTTAGCTGCGGTTTTTGACTTTGTAATCCGACTTCAAACCGATCGGAACTATGAAAAACTTTTAATGTATACGTAAAAAGTTAAAAATAATAATAATAATAATAATAATAATAATAATAATAATAATAATAATAATAATGATTTTGGTCTTTTCTTAGTAAATCTTGGCGAGGGACAACATGTTTTATAAATAAAAGAAAAATTTTTAGAAAAATATTAATATATCTATTTTGATACACTTTTGACATGACCAACTGACTGAGATGCAATTGTAGGTATAGTTCGTATAGTTATGAGTTCAAATCTGCGCCCCACCCCACACGCGTCCGCCATCTGTCCTTTCACACGCGGTCGGCATTCCCACGTACGGGCCTAACGGGACGACCGTTAACCTCAAAACTAGCCCAAAACCAAGTCAAAACCCTCATTTACGCATTTCTACATCCCCGCGTGCTTGAACTGGCCTTCCCTGACCCCATTCTTCTCCCCTCACCCGAGTTCTCCTTCTCCGGCACCGGCGACCGCTCCGGTGAGTTCATCTTGACCGGGTATTCTCCAAAGATATTGGCCGTTCTCTGAGAAATAGTCGTTCTCACGACAAGTGTGGCAAATCAATGGCCAAATCCACCATGAAAGCAATTGTTTCTAGCAAGGGAAACGGTAACTTTACTTCGAGTCTTCCCAACTGTGCATTGATTTCGCAAAACCTGATAAATAACGATATAACTTTTTTGCAGGTGGCGCTGGCAAACCAAGGAAGAAATCAAATTACGGGATTGAAAGGCAACCAAGAAGTGAGGCCATTGAAGCTGCATCTTCGTACAAAACAGAATTTCCACAGTTCGCAGCACTTTGTGGAAAGTCCAGAAGAAGCCATATGGTGAGTTCTGGTCCTTATATTTTATTCACCAAAAAAAAAACGAAAATTCTGAAAATGTAATTACTTTAATTTTGTTTTCTTCACATCTGATCTGATCTGATCTGATCGCCCTTTTGGTTAATTTGTGTTGGATGATGAAATAATTAAGGTTGTTCCAAAGGCTATAGCAAGAAAAGTTGGGATCACAGGCAAGGGAAAAACAGTGCTGTTGGATCCTAAAGGGAGGTCATGGCGTGTGAGTTTCTCTCCAAGAATGGATGGTCGTGTAGATATTATAAGCGGGTGGGCAGGTAGAAGGTGAAGCATGCCACTTTGAATTCATCCAAGGAACAGTTACAGGGAAAGTGAACATATGCGACAATATATTCCGAGTTGCGGGATTCGGAGAACTCGCTCGCTTCTCTAATGTTATACCTATGGCCTTCTCCGGCTTGCCAACTTCGATGGTGAAGATGTTAGCTTGTAACGCAGAGACCAGCGTATCTGAAACTGATGCTGCACAAATCACTTCTTCTCTTCTCTGTAATACAAATGGACCAAATGATCGACTTAGGAATGCATTTTATGCTTTTGAATTGTAAATAAGATTATCCAGTAGTCTTTTTTAATCTCTACTAAAATCTCGTTCAAAGTCTCTCTCTCTCATACTTGCCTTTTCTTTTTTAATACCATAGTTAATTTGATAGTGACCATGCATGTATGCTACTCTATCTTTTCTTCCTTGGCTACGTTATATAGACGCTAGTTGATGGAGGGCGATTTGACCCGACCTTTTGAGAAGGTGACACGTAGACATGACTCAACAGAAGTAACAGTTCAGCACAACGGTCTGGCTGCGACTAAGTAACGAGCTTGCAGGACAGTTCGCTACGTTACAGCTCGCTACAGCACGAGTTCGAGGACCCCCGACGTACTGAAGGGGAATGCTCCAAGACAAGTCTATCCCAGCTTGCGAGCTAGGATAACCAGCTCACTCTGGTACTTAGGCAAGAAAACTACCCCAAAGACAACCTCGAGAGGAATCGCCTCGAAGTGCCCCAAGGAGCTCGCTACAAGGTAGCTCATAACAGGATAGCTCGCTACAAGGCAGCGCGCTATGGAATAACTCGCTACAAGGCAGCTCGCTATTAAGCGATGTAACGCTTTCAGGAAACTTCTATCTGACAAGACCGTACTCGTCAGACTGCACCATGTCTCCTGACTGACGGCGCAGTCCCTGCCAACCCGGCAGACTGCACCCACGTCTCTCGACAGGTGGTGGGGTGTCTGTCCTCCCGGGACGTGTCACTCATCCGATTGGGTAGTACTCTGCAACAGTTACTTGCGCAGCCCTAGTAAATAACGGATGCGACAGAGGTTCAGTGGCGGTTACGCCCGATTTGACAAGAACGCCCATATTTAAGAGCCCCATGGTCGAAGGGAAAAAGGTATCTTGAACATATCTTGATCTAATCTTGAGTAAACCTTGAATCTCATTGATCTAGCGCTACTTGCACTCTTAGTCTTCTTTGCACTCTTTACTGCTCTCAGAAGCGTTCTAACTTAAGCATTGGAGTATTCCCATCGGGCAAGTCCCCCGGGAATCCTTCACCATCTTCTTCTCAGGTACGGTCCGTCGCCATCTAGGAGCCAGTCGATTGCCAACTAGGAGTGCTCGGATCGCGCAGCATCAGTAGTGATCCATATGAGGTATTGCACTCACAAGCCCTAGGCCTCCACCCGAATTTTCATTATTTGACTCTCCATTCCAATCCGTATATGGGCGGTGGTTTCTCTGATTTTTGAAAAAACAAAATATCAGAGCACCTGCCTCGGCCTAGCATTCGCGGGGGGGCAGAGGAGGTCGATCCTGTCGTTCAAGCAGAGCCGAGCTGGATCAATCCACTCGCGAGCTTCCTGCTACACGGGACCCTCCTTGTAGACCGCAATGCCGCCAAAAGGGTAGAGCGTCAAGTGGCCAAATACGTCATGATAGATGAATGACTGTACCGAAGATCCTACACGCTCCCCTACCTGCACTGCTTGCGACCTTCTGAAGCCGTGCTCGTGCTCCGTGACACTCATGAGGGCCTGTGCGGCGGACACTTGGGGGCCAGGGCCCTTGCCCAAAAAGCGCTACGACAGGGGTACTACTGGCCAACAATGAAAACAGATGCTATTGAGCTCGTCAAAAAGTGTGACAAGTGCTAGAGGCATGCCAATATCCACCATCAGCCCACTGCCGACCTCAAGTATCTCACCGTCCTGTGGCCTTTCGCACAATGGGGCATCGATATACTCGGGCCATTTCCACCAGCGACAGGCCAGAGGAAGTTCTTAGTGGTAGTAGTTGATTATTTCACCAAGTGGGTAAAAGTTGAACCTCTCATAACGATCACAGCCCGAAACGTATAGAACTTCTTTTGGAAAAATATAGTGTGCCGCTACGGGTTACCTCGAGTACTGATTTCTGATAACGGTAAGTAGTTCGAAGACATTAAATTCCAGAACTGGTGCCAAGACATGGGAATTCGGCAGAACTTCACTTCAGTCGCACACCCTCAAGCAAATGGTCAAGCAAAAGTCACAAACAGAGCTATCCTCCGCGGGCTGAAGGCACAGTTAGATCGAGCTAAAGGACTATGGGCAAACGAGCTACCCAGCGTTCTATGGGCCTACCGAACCACAGTGAAGACCGCCATAGAAGAGACCCCCGTTAACCTCACCTATGGCACTGAAGTAGTCATCCCAGTCGAGATCGAGGTTCCCACGCTACAACTAGAAGCGTATGACGATAAGGCAAATGAAGACGAGCTACGTACCAACCTCGACCTGCTTGACGAAGTAAGGGACCTCGCGTATATCAGGACCGCAGCCTACCAGCAGAGAGTAACTTGGTACTATAACGCCAGGGTCAAGAAGCGAAACCTCCGCGTCAGCGACCTGGTCCTTCGTAAAGTTATGGTACCTGAGCCCGGTGTTGGCAAGCTCGGGCCTAATTGGGAATGACCCTACCGAGTAAAACGGGTGCTCGGGGAAGGAACATATGAGCTCGAAACCCTAGAAGGGAAACAAGTACCCCGGGCATGGAATATTGTCAACTTAAGGCAATATTACCTATAACTACTGAGTAGACCACGAGTCACTCTCAGAGCCTAAGGGCCAAAATGCCGAGCTAACGTAGACCTCGGCACGATAAGACCCAGTCACCTCTATGGCATGGGCAAGCTACTAAGTAGACCACGAGTCACTCCTCTAGCCTAAGGGCTAGAACGCCGAGCTAACGAAGACCTCAGCACTATATAAGGTATAACCGCTTCATCGACAAAGGCCAAGTGCTAGTACTAGAGGCGCAGGCAGCTCGGGTGTGAACCCTATGAAGTGCAGCTCATCTCGGTGCACTACCTCAAGCACCAAGGAGTAGTTCGGGGTAACAACTACCGAAAAACCCTACTTCGGGTATGTAGCTCTAGCAGTACAAGTAATAAGGTCGCTTTGACAAAAAGTAAAGAGCACACCATGCTTAGTAGAAAAAACATTTCATTTCTATAAACAAAAAATCGGGCTTAACAGCCCGGGAAAAGATCAATAGAAAACAAATAAAAAGTAGGGCCCAACCGTCCAAGAGAGTTCATCAAAAAGAGATATTTAAAATCGGGTTATAATACCCGGGAACCACTAGAATCCATTTAGAGAAAACAAAAAACAGAAGAGCAGCCACCGGCCTCAGGGATCCACCACCTTCACATCCTCGTCATCCTTCGGAGAGTCAGGCTCCTCCTCCTCCACTACGTCTGCCGTCTCAGGATCCAGACCCTTCATTGTTATGCCGTCGAGGTTGAGCCCGGAGAACTTCTTCTGGACCAGCCAGTGGCAGAGTTTAATCCAAAGCAATAGGAGCTCGAGCCATACTCCACCTAGAGGTCGTGGTACTCTTGGGAGTCCTTGAAGTCCCACACCGCCTTAGCCCGCTCAGCCTCCACCATGGTGTCGAAGTTCCGAGTTCGGTCCTGAAGCATGGACTCCAAGTCTCGAACCTGTTGGCGAAGAAGCGCCCTCTCTGCTGCCACCCTTAACGACTCCTCCCGGAAGCAAGTACTCTCCTCGGATAGCCAGGCGATCTGTGCCTCCTGGTCCCGGACGAACAGTTCCAAAGCTTCACTCCCCTTTCGAGCCTGAAGGGCTTCACCTCGGGCCCGATCGAGCTCGTCCTGGAGCTTTTGCACGGTTGACCTCTGAGTGAGAGCATCGCTGGAGTGAATGTTGGTATGGGGGGCCATGGTGTGGATGGCGGAGTTCACCTGCCAACAAAAAGGTCGAGGTTAGAAAAAAAAAAAAAGAAGAAGAAGAAGGGAAAAGAAGAAAAAGTAGTCACATACCACCATGTAGTGAGCAGAGGCTAGCCTAGCGAGCTGCTTGGGGTCCATCCCTCCCCAGCTAGCGACCTCCTCATGGGAGACTGCCTTTCGGCTCCTTCGTGAAACCACGGTGAAGTCGGTGACACTCTCCCAGTTCCCAGTAGGGAACCGTGGGAAAGCGAGGGAGTGGGATTGCTCAAGCAGAGGGAACTGCCCTTGCGCCGGGAGCTCACCTTCTTCAAGGCCACCTTCCATGGCAACTCCCTCGAACGAGACCGGGGGAACCTCAGGCGGTGGAGAAATGAAGGCTGGATCAGCAGCCTCAAACTCAGCGCCCCCAGAAGTGGAAGCTCGGTTAGGACGCGACCTCTTCATCTTGTGCTTCTGGTTGATGGATAGAAGGTAGCACGCGTCAACACCATACATGATAGCTACCAAAAATTACAAAGGCATTAGTCCAAAAAAAAAATTGCAAGACACTATGCGACCTAAAAGGCAACCTACCGGGGCTTAGGCCGACCTGCACGAGCTTGTCCTCGGTCAAGTAGTCCGACCAATGAAAGCCAACTATTGCCCAGGACTGCAGCGTTTCCCGAACTTTGGGATCCAAGTCGACCCCCGAATCCTGGATGGCGGCCCTCCAGTGAGTTGGGAAGGGCCACCCCTTGGGGTTGCAAACTACAAAATAGTCCCGCTTCTAGGCCGAGATCCTGTTTGAAAGCTCGTATAAGAACTTGAAGCCGCGGCGGGGAGAAAAATAGTAGGAACGCCTTTCTGGAGGTGCTCCAGGGGAAGCATTCCTAATGCAAAGAATGGTGGAGAGGATGTCAAGGTTAAGGGGAAGACAATACTCATAAAATAAAGAGATAGTCCCAACTACATTTCGGATGGAGTTGGGGTGAAGCTGGTCAACAGTGACGTTGAAGTGATTCAAAACCGCCACTATCAGAGGATGTAGAGGAAGATGAAAGCCAGCGATGAGCTACTCCTGGAAGATCACTATCTCATCAAGACCGTGCTCCCAGGGATAGTCACCGGAAGGGAGACTATAGACAAGGTCTCTGGGGAGGTTAAATTGGAGAACCAAGGCCCTAAGTCTCTCCATCGACATGGAGGAAGGACCAAAGCTATCTGGCTCCCTGCCCAGAGAGGTAGAAGTAGTCTCGCTAGAAGCCTGCTCCCAAGCTCCCCCTGAGTTCGAGGGGGCGTCATCATGGTCATCACCCTAGGAAAAGACGTGGTACGGATACCCAGACATACCGACAAAATG